AAAGGAAATGGATTACTTCCCCAGAGGATCAGGTTTTCTATAGTATTCATGAAGATTATACGATTTCTCCCTCTCCAGAAGTTTTAAAATGAGATGTCTCAGATTTCATAAATCTGCCTCATTCCCTTTCCTATCAGGGAAGATGCTCCTGCTTTGTCCCTAAGATGCTATGGTCATCAGATAAGTCGGCGGTTTCTCAGGCACCACTTGGGGAGTAGCTGGAATTATTCACACTCTAACCCCTTGCACGTGGCTCAGTGCCTGGCACACAGTTCGCTCTCTGCAAACACTGTTTCAGAAGATTGAAAAAGAAATGATGGATAAGTTCTGTTCTACATAGCTAAAGTTTATTTTGTTTGAAGACTGAAGAACAAAAGAGACACCCCTCCAAAGTCATGGATGATTCTCTGAGTCTGTGTACACATTCCCATGGCTGGACAGCATTATATTAAAATCTGTCAATGTTTCCACACTGTCCACCAAGCCGGCTACTGTGCTAGGTACTGACATCTGTAAACATGTAATTTGTATTCTTCTGTCACCTGCAATACACTGAAGGAACATCCCTCGGGTTCACAGAAATTAGTTATCCCATAGGCTGGATGGATGATGGATAGGTGGCTTTTTCACCAGCCTAGCTAGGTTTGGAAAATGCCAGATGCCTTCACTATTCTAACGACGTGTTGGTACACATGATTAAAAAGCCAGAGGCAAGCTCAGAGCAGGAGTACAAAAACCAGACGTTTCTCCCCCAAGGGAGCTGTCTCCAGCCACCCAAGACTGCCATCACACTGGGATCTGTGATGTCCTTTCTGCTCCCCACCCTCCTGGAGAGAAACCTGGCAGAGCTGCAACCTTGGAGCAAAGAAGCTTCCAGTCTGTTATTTTCACTTTTCTCAGCGGGGTTTTTCTCTGCCTGATAGCCCCGTTTACTCTTCCTGTTCTCTTTTAAAAGTCTGGCATTCAAAGCAGAAGTAATTCTGTTTTAAGAGGTTGCCAGGAAGCAACACGAAATCTACCTGCTTTTGAGTTTCATAGTCCATTTTATTTCTTTCTCTAAGTAAAAGCAGGGCATTTGTCAGTTTGCGTTCCTCTGATATCTCCCTCTATTTTCTTGATTCTTCAGGCAGAACTCCCTATGTTCACTGTTCCGTCAATGAGGGTGGAAAGAACACTTAAGCTTCTTCTGCTCTATTGCTGGTCTAAAGCCATCCAGCAGCTGTCTTTGGGCCACTAGACAAATCTGGTCACAGCTCTGGGCCTATAAATGCACTGGAACATAGGCAATTAGTTCAGGGTTACCCTGACCACTTCTAGAGAGTTCTAGGACGTCATGAGCATATTGTGAAAAAATATCTGGATCTCATTCTCCATTCTTGTCTTTTGCAACTCAGTCTACTTCCAGAAAGGTTAACTTTAGGGTATTACTTGTAAACACTCTAAGGAATATGATATTTTACATGTCTTTTAGCATATTATTGATAGGAACATCAGTTAATGTTGCTTCATTTGTTTGTTGTTACAGAATCCACAAAGCCAATTAGAAAGTTGCTTTTCTGGTGCCTCCCATTTCTTACAAATACATACTCCTCACTGCCTGAATATGTAGCTTAACTGTAATTAATCAATTTCAACTAATTAAATTGAAATTGAACACTGTATTAGTTTTGGTAGGGCTGTGATAACAAGCTACCACAGACTGGGTGGCTTACACAAGAGAAATTTATTTTTCATAGTTCCAGGGGCTGAAAGTCCCAGGTCAAGTTGTTGCAGGTTTGGTTTCTTCTGAGGCTTCTCTCTTTGACTTGCAGACAGCCTCCTTCTCATTATATCCTTATGCGGTCTTTTCTCTATGTGTGTGCATCCATAGCGTCTCTATGTGTCCAAATTTCTTCTTCTTATAAGGACCCTGGTCATTTTGGGTTAGGGTTTACCCTAATGGCTTTACTTTAACTTAGTCATCTCTTTAAAAGCTGTATCTCCAAATACAGTCACAATCTAAGTTATTAGAAGGATTAGCACTTTTTTAAAAAATTTTTTATTATTATTATACTTTAAGTTCTAGGGTACATGTGCATAATGTGCAGGTTTGTTACATATGTATACTTGTGCCATGTTGCTGTGCTGCACCCATCAACTCGTCATTTACATCAGGTATAACTCCCAATGCAGTCCTTCCCCCCTCCCCCCTCCCCATGATAGGCCCCGGTGTGTGATGTTCCCCTTCCCGAGTCCAAGTGATCTCATTGTTCAGTTCCCACCTATGAGTGAGGACATTCGGTGTTTGGTGTTCTGTTCTTGTGATAGTTTGCTAACAATGATGGTTTCCAGCCGCATCCATGTCCCTACAAAGGACACAAACTCATCCTTTTTTATGGCTGCATAGTATTCCATGGTGTATATGTGCCACATTTTCTTAATCCAATCTGTCACTGATGGACATTTGGGTTGATTCCAAGTCTTTGCTATTGTGAATAGTGCTGCAATAAACATACGTGTGCATGTGTCTTTATAGCAGCATAATTTATAATCCTTTGGGTATATACCCAGTAATGGGATGGCTGGGTCATATGGTACATCTAGTTCTAGATCCTTGAGGAATCGCCATACAGTTTTCCATAATGGTTGAACTAGTTTACAATCCCACCAACAGTGTAAAAGTGTTCCTATTTCTCCACATCCTCTCTAGCACCTGTTGTTTCCTGACTTTTTAATGATCGCCATTCTAACTGGTGTGAGATGGTATCTCATTGTGGTTTTGATTTGCATTTCTCTGATGGCCAGTGATGATGAGCATTTTTTCATGTGTCTGTTGGCTGTATGAATGGCAGACTCGGAATTTCTTGTCTTCTTTTAACAAGAGAGATCCAGTGAGATCTTATAAATGTGCAAATACCAGATCTCTTGGCTAATGCTACCAGGGCAGATGGCACCTGGTCTGTTTTGATGGCTTTTGGTAAACAAGTCCTGGAATCCATGGCTTTACAGAATAGGGCAGCAGGAAAACCTCATGTCAGTTACGTAGGTATCAGAATATCAAATGGAGCTACCTCATGACTGAAGCAGCCCCTTCCTGTGTAAGCCATGGGGGTTGCAAACGTCCCTTAGAGACTTCTTCTGTTACTCTGGAGTCAGACAGCATCCCAATGCAGCCAGAAAGAACCTGGTGTGGTGCTAGCATTCCCGGGCCTCTCTCATCTTCACCAGAGCCTTGAGATTACCTGTGCCCTTGAGCTGATGAGTAACACCTGATGCTGGGGAAGACCTCTGGTACTCGTAATTCTGATTTGAAAATTCATCTCGGTGTTACTGCAGTTTACTCTAACAAAGAAGGACTTGAAATTGTATCAGAAAGTTGGTGAATTCCTAGAAAAGATTTGTCCTAAGCATTGAGATCAGAGAGATAGATGAAGCAAATGAGAAAATTGAATATTTTGGTATTATGTTTGCCAAACAGCCAGAGCAAAAGTTCAGATGTGTCACTTGTTGATTTATTTTGCTTTCTTCATCAATAAACCCCCTCTCTTTTTCCCTCCCTCTAGGAATATGTAAATATAGATATAGATATAGATGTATGTGAGTACATATGTATTTAAATAAAGGTCATATACTTTGGTTAAGACCACAATATAATAAGAAGTACCTAACCTGACCTTCTTGCTTTTATCAAATAAATTTTAAAAGAGGATGGGGTGGGACCCTTACAGCACAATTAGAAGCTGGCAATAAGGAACACCAGTGGGTTAAGGATTGAAGTAAGCTGCGGCATCATCCTTTGATTCTCTTTCCTGGGAAAACGCAGCGTCCCTGGAAAACGAATGAAGGAACCTCTAGAAGAACCCCATGCTTGTTCCTGGGTTTAGAAGGATGAGAAGAAGAGGGTATGGGTACTGCACCACTGCAGAGAGCAGCATTTGAAAGCAATCCAAAAGTTCTTCAGTTGCTCATGTATCTAAATCAAACGGAAATCTGGCAGGGAGATATGGGTCTGTGTATGTGTATATTTTCCTCATAGGAAGTAAATGGCCAACACCCTAAACCTAGCTGTGTTATTCGGGGCAGAAGCAAGCTGTGAGACTAATGGCTCAACACCAATGGGACACCAATGAGCTGCAGTGAATTATATAACGCAAAGTCAGTGATGCCTGGAGGCACCTCACCGAGTTCATGTGAAGAGAGAGGTGATAAAAGATGACAAAAGAACAGCTCTAACATATGGATAGGACAAATGGACAAAGCGTAAAGATATAGTAGATATAAAATAAAACAGCAAAATAAGAGTTCAGTAGAACATCTTGTAAATATTTCTCAGTTCTCAGGATGAAAATTATCTGAGTATAGAAACTAAAAAGACAGAGTACCCCAAAATAATAATGACAAAAGAAGCACCTTAACATGTATCCCTGGAAAATGTCTGTATTTTAAAGACAAAGTATCACAAGCAATCTGCCAGAAATCAAAATAAAACAGTAAATCATGTTCAAAGGTGGAAAAAGGTTTAGCCTCCTATTTTCCTTAATATTAAATGTCCAAAGACAATGGAGCAATATCTACGGTCCTAACCTACCCACTCATATGACCCGGCAGGTCATTCATGTGTACAGGCAAAGCACTTTGTATACACGGTAAATGAAAGAAAGAATGAGCAAGGATAATTCAAAATGGAACTAAAGTAGATGGTAATCTCAGGCATTACGATAAAAAAGAGGTAAACTAATTCTAATATTAGGTTAAAAAAAAAAAAAAAATTAGTTGGCTGCGCACAGTGGCTCACGCCTGTAATCCCAGCACTTTGAGAGGCCGAGGTGGGCAGATCACTTGAGGTCAGGAGTTCCAGACCAGCCTGACCAACATGGTGAAACCCCATCTCTACTAAAAATACAAAAATTAGCTGGGCTTGGTGGCGGGCGCCTATAATCCCAGCTACTCGGGAGGCTAAGGCAGGAGAATCTCTTCAACCAGGGAGGCTGAGGTTGCAGTAAGCTGAGATTGCGCCACTGTACTCCAGCCTGGGCAACAGAGTGAGACTCCGTCTCAAAAACAAAAACAAAACAAAACAAACAAACAAAAAATTAGTTCTATGATATCTATCAATAACATACCTAAAAGAAAATAATAACAATGGAAAGAAAACATTTAAAATAAGAACTAATATAAGGACTAAAATAAGAACTAATATAAGAACTAAAAGAAAACTTGGGTCCCCTAAGCTACCTGGCTGATCTTGTGGCCATGATTTGACCACAGATCCTGGCATAGAGTTCCTCCAAGATCACAAGCCACCATTATGCCCTCAGAACATTTACTACAGCACCTGACCTCATGGATTAACTTCAGTGCTTACTATTAATATCAAGTAAATTTTTTTTTTAAAGATTTGGAGACTGACTATCCATAGTGAAACCAGCCAAAATTAGATTTGAGATGTATTTTTGTTGTCTACATTCATATAGATTCACTTCTTTGGGGAAGGTGATAAAATTTAACGTATTATTATAATTATCATCCCCACTATCTTTGCATTCTTTCGTTATGGTATCTGGAAGAGAGTTAAGGCAGTTTTCACAAAAATAAGAATTTAACAATCATTTATATAAAACATACAATTTTAGTCTTGTTTTTCACAGATTATTAGGTCTAAAAGTTGAATATAAAAATAGACACATTCTAGTTCTTAATTACATATAGTAAAAACCAAGAACAAACTCTTTAAATGCAGATAGAACATGAGGTACCAGATCAGGGATATTAAACATCAATCGTATGTCTTGTGCTAAAATAGAAAATGTTGCAAAAATAATAGGTTTGCACCAATGAAATACCATTAGATAGAATATAATTATACTACAGTTAAATCACACATAGTACACACGATCTAGATTACAAAATTAGTACATATCAGATGACAAAAACCCGTGATTCATTCAATGAGCTTTTGAAAGTAGACAAGACATAAACAAAAATAATAATTTTCTTTCTTTTAAGGATTGTTCTGTTCTAGGTTTCTGATCTGCAAACTGCAATGCCTGTGTAAACCACAGCCCACCTCCCCATTCTATCTTTCCAGTGTCACCCAAAGGCAGATGGCAGATGGCAGATGGCAGATGAAGCAAGACATCCTGATAGTTATGGCCCAAGGAATTGTCATCCTTGAGTTCCCGCTTCTGAGATTCCCCAGAACCGTCATGAGTCCTATCCTGTCCTGAGATGTCATTGCTCAATTTTTCCTTCAAAAATATGTAGTATTCTTAACATCAATTTCCTTTTAAATTGTCCAGAGTCAATCGAACATACTCATATATATCTAATTGTAATAGATATATGGGTGATCATGGACATGCCATATATCTAATTGTAATAGATATATGAGTGATCATGGACTGTCATTTATCTTTCTAGATGTCATATTCCTTGTTTATAAAATAGGACTCACAATAATGCCCATCCAAGGGTTCATAGGAGATTATTTGTCTCCTCACATCATCTAGCACCTTGAGGTCACCTGCATTCCCCATTTTCAAAGTCAACACTGCAGCACCTGGGGATCTCTCTCTGACCTCCGCCTCCATTGCCACGTCTCCTTCTCTGACTCTGGCTCTCCTCCTACCCTTTATGAGGACCCTCAGGATTACATTGGGGCCACCTGGATTATCCAGGATAATTTCCCTATTTCAAGGTCCTTAATTAAAAACCTGTGGCAAGGTCCCTTTTGCCATGTAAAGTAATATATTCATAGGCTTCAAGGATTAGGATGTGGACATCTTTGGGGGGGCCATCATTCTGTTTACCACAAATGTCCTCATCATGTTCTTCTGATAGGACTTCTTATCTATTTCCTTTTTAGCCTATAAGATTCATGGAGACACTATCTGTATCTACAGACCTATTGCAGTATTGGGTGCATGGCGGTCATGAGTTGGTAAATGTTTAACAGGTTCTCCAAGAGAAAAAGGCCTTAATTTGTGGCATTTGCAACTTCTGTGATTTAAATACTTTTATCATGGCCAAATTCAAGTTCATGACTTCACTGAATGTGGAACTGGGAAAATATACATATTTGCACACCACCTGATAGAGATAATGAATCAGGAGTATTCAATCTTTTGGCTTCCATGGACCACATTGGAAGAGGAAGAATTGTCTTGGGCCACATATTATATACACTAACACTAATGACAGCCGATAAGCTAAAAACAAAAAACAAAAAGCAAATCACAAAACAATCTTATAATGTTTTCAGACAGTTTACAAATTTGTGTTGGGCTGCATTCAAAGCCGTCCTGGGCCACATGTGGCCAGTGGGTTGCGGGATGGACAAGTTTTTAATAAATAATCCCAAGGGCATAGATATTAGTGAAATGAAGTAAAATCATTAGGGTGTGCTGAGTTTTGAGAGTTACTTTTGTTTTTGTTTTAATCTAATTTATGTAATTATAACTATATATATATGTACATAAATTATTTTTCAAAAGGCTCTGTTTAACAAACAGCTTACAAACATCCTGAAAATGTAACAATCAGCTCTCACGATTGGCTCCAGCATACCATTACATGGTAGGTATATATTAATAACAACTATGTGTTGGATGGGTGAATGAGTTAATATATCTAATGACAGTATATTAAAATGTATTTGACTGTTAATCTTCTGACTTTTTTTCTTTTCTTTTTTAAAAAAGCTAATCTTTTCTAAAAAAGAGCTAAATTTAAAAATAGTATTTGAGCATTACCTTTACTGTGTTCACAGGGCGTGACAAAACATTTTAAAGAAGTAAGATTTTGTTCTGAATTATTATCTTTTATTTCCTTTAATGCTTTGGCTATGGTCAGCCTTGAGGAAATTTGTTGATTTAGGAGAGATTCAAGACACTTAACTACTTTACATGAAATGTACACTAGTAGGTTAAATATGAAACAAACCTTATGAATACACTATTATTTTGATTTGGGAATTGTTCCACACTCAAGTACATGAATGATAATGTATAAATCTCTACCACATTACAGTCAAGTATTAAGATGCGATCTTTGAAATTTGAAATTGAAAAACCTCCTGATAACTTTTATTTATATGCATAATAATAAATAAAACAATGTTTAGAAAATATGGAAAGAGAACATTCTATATTTGAGCACTTAAAGTATTTTAACCTAGCACTCTCCATAGTTTTTTTTTAGTGAAAACACCCAACTACTATGTTTGACAACTTTTCTGTCTATTTTAAACCTTCCCATCAGATCCAAACCACAATAAAGCTTTGTAAGTCACGTAAGCTTGACAGTATTAAGTCTTTTAGATATTATTCAGAATTAAAAATGTGAATTCCAGGGCACACACAAAAAATGAGAAGTTCCAAAGTAAGATGACACACAATAGTAGGATAATCAGTGATAAAATATTTGCTGAGAAAGTTCCACAACCAAGTGGAATATACACATATGGGGAAATCAGAAATAAAATAATTGGCTAGAAAGTTTTTTAGTATATAATACCTTTTTAGTATTCTAAAGTCAATGAGGCTTTTCTTAGTTGCTAATAAAATAAAACATTGGCAAAGGAGTTAACAGTTTTCAATGAAGGGTAGGAGTATATATCTAAGCACGTGTGGGTCAGAGTTGCTAAATGCAGATATTATGGAAAAAAAATGTTAGCTAGTGGAAGGAAGAGGATTTCACAGAAAGGGCAATCATTCTGTCAAATTACCTTTGCTAAATTCATAAGAAATATAAGACAAATGGAATGAATATATACACCTGTCATTCTAAATAAAACAATCTGATTTTCCTGGGGTATATGAGTTGACAAATGTAAGATTTTTTTCATTAACTTATATGAAACAAAGTAAATAAACATATTGAGTTTACACTACCATGGCTTGAAAGCATAAAATCTATGCAGAAATTGTTGGAACCACACTTAATAATTTTGACTGGGGTCAAGATTCAGAGCCATGTCAGTGAAGATTGTTTCTGATAGCCATAGTACAAGAACTAGCCTTCCCAGGAAGCACTGATTTCATGATTTACTTACACACTTCCTGTGGTGGAGCTGCTATCAGTGAGAAAAGACCCATTAGTCCTTTCCATCTGTGCCAGTCTGAAAAATAAAAATAAGGAGATTAGACAACGTTGCCATATAGGACACGGTCAATTGGATGTACATCCTTAATCATTTTTAAATTGTCAAAATTCTGACAAAACATAGAAAGATCCAAATCTCCTAACACAATTGTAAAACTAAAACATTTCATGTTGAGCTACCTTTCTAACCTCAACTTTGTCTCTCCACTTTCTCACCTATTTCCCTTTCCCCCATCTGCAGTTCAGTAAACAAACCATGCTCTTTCCCAGCTCAATGCTTTTCAGTATATTATTCCATCAGCCCAAGACTTTCCCCTAGAAATTCTAGTTGGTCTAGACCCAGTTCAACTGTTACCAATTTTATGATGCTTGAATTAACCTTTCTAGGCATAGCTAGTTACTAGAACCACAGATACCTAGTATATACCACTTTTCTCAAAGTTTGTGCACACCATCAAGACCAGCCTACATATTATATTATTTAGAGACTCTAAAATAAACCGCATCCTAAAGCATTACCATAAATTTAATTATATATTATAATTCATACGTGAAGCATCTCCTGAGAATACCTGCAATCCCACTTTCATTCACTGAAACTAGGTTACAGTATCTAAATCCTGTTTGTACAGTGTTTGGATTCTCATTAGCTGGAGAATCACACCCTATTTAGGTTTACTTTTCATAGAATACATAGCAGGTGTTTGGTGAAGTACAAATTGCATCATGAAAATACAAGAGCCCAAATTCCAAATATACTGGAATCATAACTCCTGCAAAACTGCATTCCTTAAATCAAGGTATACTAATGATATTAGATTAATTAGAAATAGATACATTCTGGGTGGCAGTGCATTGGAGGGCTCTGATCATAGTTTCTTACCGTGTAGCATATTGTTCTATTCTTGAATGGGTATCATCATGAAACAGTTGAGGAGACTGTGAGGGGCTTTAAAGGAAAAAAACAAAGCAACAATTTTATGCCCAAGTATTGATAGATGTTATGATTAGAAATGTTAGGTTACTTAAGTAATGAATTTGCCATGCAAACAAACCACTAGGATTGTTACCCAGAACACAGAAGTATTATTTTAGACCAAGAGTTGAGTAAGACCCCCATGCTAATACCACTGATCAGAACACCTCTCCTGCACATGGGCTCTGAATACTCACTCATAGTGCTCTGGCCACATACTGATGAGTGTGATAGGACTGCAAAGAGGGGAGAGGGAGACAAAAGTCACAGAACAAACACTTTAGAGCAATTTAAGACAAAAGCACTGGGGGTGTGGGGAGATTCTCAATTATCTTCCGCTCATATATGTGGTTGCCCTGAGAGCCACCATGGGGAAATCAAAAGTAACAGAAGTAACAGTGTATTCTACAGGAGTCACTGTGTATTCAAGAGTCTGCAGGGGCCTTTTCACAGATATTACAGGATATTTGTTACAGGATAGCAAATACATCTTTAAACAGTCATACTGGGGAAAAAACCAGAATGCTCGAAAATAACTCAAAATTATAGAATAATTGTAAAGATAATATTCTATATTATACCAAGGGGGGGATGCAATCATATTTTTGTTTTTCCTAGAGAAGAAACTTGGTTAGAAAGATGAAGTTAAAAATGAAACACTACATTATATGTTGATGGCAGAGGTACAATAAAATTAGATTTTTCTGTTCTTCATCTAATTTTAAATGTAAACATTCAAACCCAGATGTACCCAAAGTACCTCAACTCACAGATCCCTTGAACAAACAGGCAACCTAGATACCACCCCTAGATCCCACCAAAAATGTCACATCATAAATAACACTGAAGGCAACTTCCTGAGATCATGATACATTTTCTTCAAAAAAATGTTTTTTAGAAGTTTATACTATGAATTGATACAAGAAAATTTGTTCTGCTTGACTCAGGGGCTTGTGTCTGGAGCCAGATCATTCGGTGTCACTCTTAATGCTGGGGATGTCGCATACTGCCTAGGAATTCCCAAGTCTCCATGAAATACTTTCGAAAACAAGTGATCCTAATCAAAAGCTAGTTCCAACCCTAGCGTTCTGAGGAGGAAGGAGAGTAAATGAATGCAGAAAATGTAAAGTACAATGGAAATTATCTATTTAATTAAATAAAGTCTGCAAAAGCTAATAGTGATTGAAACAAAATTATTCCAAAACTTCTTGATTCTCCTATTTCCATTATACACACCTACTTAGGAAAAGTAAGTAGGTGTGTATAATGCCTACTTTTCTCTTCATCTCCTATAGTGAAGTGCAGGTTGATGTCTGCACAGCAAAGACTTTTGAACGTTATCTTATTGGGATGAAAAACTAAGACTCTTGAGATCTATTTTCAGAACCAGGCATTTATCCACACGATTTGCCAGAATATCTATACTGTCAGTAAACTTAATTTATAGATGTGCAAAATAGATACAATAACAATAAAACAACACAGTATTAGTCAATACTGCTTCCACGTCACTGCTCTTCATTAACCCTGAAATATGTTAAATGTCAGGTGAATGATAGCTATATACTTTCTAAAAACAGTAACTGCTAAAGAGATTATTTCTAAAATTCAAATGTAGCAAAACATATGCCATGAACTTCAAATAGAAGAAAAGTGTATATATTTTTCATCTTAATCAACCTTGGAAAAGCTCTGTCAAATTATTTGACTGGTTCTTGTGAACTTAATCCAGTTAGCACAAAAGTGATCCATGACCTAAGATGAGAACAGCCAGGGTAGAGAGCCGAACTAAAGGGTTTCTCAAGTTTTGTTATATAGTTGAAAATTTTCTAAAAAAAGAAATAAAGATTTAAAAAAACCCTTGGGCTTCATTGACTTCAGAGAATTTTGATTTGTAGAAAAAAAGATTAAATGATAAGCTTTTTCATTTGATTTTGAAAGGGGAAAATAAGAAACTGCATAGATAGAACCTATCATTAAAAGGGCTTGGAAATAAGACCAATGTGTGTGTTAGCCCAGGCTTCAGAATGCAGCCTATCTCTGCTCTCCAGCATGGGGGCAGAACAGGTGATTTTTGTCAGTCACACACTGATATTCCAGAAATCAGACTCTACTACAAATATTTAGATATTATATGAAATGTAACGCAGGCCAGGCTTGGTGGCTTGTGCCTGTAATCCTAGCACTTTGGGAAGCTGAGGCAAGAGGATCACTTAGTATCATGTAAAATGCAACCCAGGTCAGGCTCAGTGGCTTATACCTATAATCTCAGCACTTTGGGAGGCTGAGGTGGGAGGATCGCTTGAGCCCAGGTGTCTGAGGCCAGCCTTGGTAACATAATGAGACCTCATCTCCACAAAAAATAAACACATTAGCTGTGCGTGGTGTCATGATGCCTATAGTCCCAGCTTCTCGGGAGGATGAAAATGTTATCCAGAAGTTTAATCTACAAACTGATACAAGAAAACTTGTTCTGCTTGACTCACAGTCTTGTGTCTGGAGACAGATCATTCAGTGTCAACCTTAATGCTGGGGGGACACCCCCACAACTTCACACACTGCCTAGGAATTCCCAATCTTAATGCTGGGGGGACACCCCCACACCTTCACACACTGCCTAGGAATTTCCAGGGAGGAACGCTTGAGCCTGGGAGGTCGAGGCTGCAATGAGATAGTAAGTTGTGATTGTGCCACTGGGAAGCAAAACTGAACCCCGTTTCAAACAAAACAAAACAAACAAACAAACAAAAATATATATATATACACACACACACTATTATATTAATATATATACACACATATATACATTTGTGTATATATATAAACATATGTGTATGTACGTGTGTGTGTGTCTATATACATATATAATAGTTTTATATATAAAACCCAGACTTTGAAGAACTTAGTGACCCTTTTAGTGCCTTAAATTGTCAGTAGACTCTTCCTTGTTCTTTGTCTTCTGTCTTCTTCAATCCATTTGCCCCAGAGCAGGGTAAGTGGGATCCCTGCTGCTTTTACTTAAAGACCCCAGTGACTCCCCATTGCTCTTAGAATAAACTCCAAACACCTTGGCATGGCTTAGAAGGCTCTTCATTATATAGTTCCATTTTCTCTCTCCACTGCCATTTCTTGCCACTGTTGCTAGTCTTCCACCCCCGTTTCTGAAATTATCTTGCCTCCGAGCTTTTGAAAATGCTTCCTTAGACCAGAAACTCTCCCTCTCCACCTCCCACACCAAACACACAACCCTTAGCACTATTAATCTTTCAGGTCTCAACTTAGCTGTCATACTTCCTCCCAGTCGGGTGTTAACTACAACCATAGTGAAACTTGCATTGTATTTGGTTCTTGCTATAGCAAAGGCTTAAAAAAAAAAATCTTTAAACTCATTTACTCCCCTTTAACCAATACCAGGGAGAGGTGTCTATTTTAATTTTTTTAATCTTTAGGGAAATCAATCTATCTCTTTAGCCAATAATAATTCTCACAACTCTTGAATTACTTTTGTTACTATTTTAGTTTGTTCCTCAGGTTTATTTTCAATGGAGTATTCTTTAATCAAACTCTACTCATTTATTGATTTATTTTCTGAAAAATTTTGCATAATTATAAAATTAATTGAATAAACCTTAGCATGGATTTGTTTACGCCCTTTTAGTAATAACTCATTTTCCCCATAAATCCCCTCCTCCATGCATGCATGGGCAATTACTGGGCAGAGGATAAAACGTTATATTTTGCAAGGATGAAAAAGAAAGAAGTGAAAGAAAATTCTAATTAGCTTCATAAATAACTTTAACACATTTGCCACTTTGCTGGTTTTTCTCCAATGTTCTCCTCCCACAAATAGGAGAATAAACAAAATCAAACTTTTTAATTACCCACTCACATAAATTGTGACACCAGAAGATTAAGCGGTCCTGTACTAGAAAGGGCTCAGCCGAAAAGTGAACTATATCAAATCCCGAGAGCTCGGTCTAAGATTAAAAAAAGAAAACCTGCCCAGTAGTTCATAAATCTTTCCAATAAGGATCTTGGGGCATCTGATGCAAGCTCACACTCCTTCCTTTTTCCTCTTGTTTCCTCTCACTAAAAATGCTTTCCTCTCACTAAAAATTTATATTCATTTTCAATTGAATGAATTGAGGTGAGTCATTTTCAGAATTATACCCCAAAATCACAGTACAAAATTATTTGGCATGCTTTTCTGTTAATTTTTACCTAATAGAGTCACTCAGAATAGGATGACTGATGCCAGTGATTATTTTGACATTGAAAGGCAAATTAAAAATGTTTTAAAGGAGTATAAAATACACATCTATCTGCATGATTCCTGTGAAGGGTGTAGGTGTTTGGGATGCAAAATGCCAACGGTTTAGCAAAAGATTAAAAGGCACATCACTTAGTTCAAACCTATCAAATTATCCCATAAATTAAAGCACCAAGTAATAATTTTGTGCCTCAGAATTATCCATTCCAAAGGTTAATTGGATGGGAGACAAAAAAGGTACAATTTTGTCTTTATCCTAAGGCGTCAGCACAGTTAAAACATACATTAGATACTAAGACAAATAAGAATCTTCACACAGGCTTTTGAAGGAAAGGATAAAAGCATACCCACAAATCAAAAAGAGGACCAAAAGTCTACTGTTCCTGAATGTATTCGAATAGCTCTCTTTAAACTGAAATTGCTTTATTAAAATCTTTTCTAGGGGCCGGGCGTGGTGGCTCACGCCTGTAATCCCAGCACTTTCTCTTTAAACTGAATTGCTTTATTAAAATCTTTTCTAGGGCCGCGTGGTGGCTCACGCCTGTAATCCCAGCACTTGGGAGGCCAAGACGGGCGGATCACGAGGTCAGGAAATCGAGACCATCTTGGCTAACACGGTGAAACTCCTCTCTGTTAAAATTGTGGTTTCGCCGGCCTCGGTGGTGGGTGCCCGTGTTTCCAGCTCGGAGCTAAGGCAGGAGAATGGCGTGAACCCGAGGCGGAGCTGCAGCGACAGACAGCCATAGCCTGGGCGACAAAGCGAAGATGCCCTCTGTCTCAAAAAAAAAAACAACTTTTCTAAATTATACTATGCAAAGGAATGTTTAGAAGACATAGAGATCTTAATTGTACACAGTTTGATATCAAGTGGAAAGAATATATCTTAAGTGTACATAGTTTGTTACCAAGCAGAGTAATCATAAAGTTGAAATTTTTTCTTACATTCTGTATGTGTATGTGTTATACATGGACCTATCTAAATATGCATTTGCATTGTATTTCTTTCTGTATACACACACATGACATTACCTATAGAGGAAAAAAGGTATCTCCTATGCTTTGGCTGTGGTCTTTCTTCCATTTCTTTTTTTTTTTTTTTTTTTTTTTTTTTGAGACGGAGTCTCGCTCTGTCGCCCAGGCTGGAGTGCAGTGGCGCAATCTCAGCTCACTGCAAGCTCCGCCTCCCGGGTTCACGCCATTTTCCTGCCTCAGCCTCCCGAGTAGCTGGGACTACAGGCGCCCGCCACTGCGCCCAGCTAATTTTTTCTATTTTTAGTAGAGACGGGGTTTCACCATGGTCTCGATCTCCTGACCTTGTGATCCGCCCGCCTCGGCCTCCCAAAGTGCTGGGATTACAGGCGTGAGCCACCGCGCCCGGCTTTCTTCCATTTCTTAGCCATTCCACAAATAAAAGAGATAAACCGGCACATAAGTTTACCAAAGTTTGAGGTCTACAGGGATTTTTTAAAAATCGATTTTGGTCTGCAGACCAAATAAAGTATTCTTCTATTTTGACATGTTTGAGACATTGACTATCACAATGCACTAAAATATTACTATTCCCTGATTTTCTCTCATGTACAAAATAAAATGAACTATGAATTTGAAGGTTAAAGTTTCATTTCACAAAAATTACACTTTACATTTTGTATACTTCTTACTACAATTTTCTCTATTTTTTGTAAAGTAGAAAACTTCACACTTTTGAGTTTCTCTTCTCTAGTCATCTGAGACCCTGTCTTTCTCTGACTGGAGCTTCATTATGCTGTACAACTAGGCAATCTGTTGATGATTAGTAATAAAAGCTCATTTTCCCCAAGATTCAACCACAAGAAAATGGCCTTAGCAGGAATATTTATGCTGACGTATGAAAAAGCAATTCAAAGATTTAAAATCTATTTTGATCCTAACACATAATTGTTTAGTGCCTTAAAAATACTTCTTTGCATTTTTTTCTGGGTTATTGAAAAACGTTTTTTTCTTTTCATTTCAGGCCATAAATTCTTATTCCCTTTGCTTTATAATCCCATAGTAATTTCACCATCTTGAAGCTTTCATCTATGCTAACCAACTCAAATTACACACTTTGAAGACATTTTTTCTATTTTATGTAATATATGAAGCTATCTCAGTTTGCTGTCTTCATTTTCAATAAAAAATAGATTAGAAACATAATGTGGTATTTTAAAATTTTAGCATAAATATCTGAATCAACAGATTATTATTAATAAATTTATATTAAAGACATGCAAAAAGAGTATAAAACATACTATGAAAAATAGTAAAATACCCACCATAAGGGAAAAAAAGGAAAATAAATAAAAGAATGAAAGACTATATAATGCCACAATTTAAGTATTTTTAAAAGGAGATGACCAACAAAAAAGATGACACCACTGTGTATTAAGTTTGACAAATTAATATATATTTTTAAAGCTTAAGGACACATGCAAGGTTAAAATTGAAATTTTTTTCTATTTTATGTAATATATGAAGCTATCTCAGTTTGCTGTCTTCATTTTCAATAAAAAATAGATTAGAAACATAATGTGATATTTTAGAATTTTAGCATAAATATCTGAATCAACAGATTAAGTATTATTAATAAATTGATATTAAAGAGATGCAAAAGGAGTATAAAACATACTACGAGAAATAGTAAAACACACCCCATAAGGGGAAAAAAAGGAAAATAAAAGAATGAAAGACTACATAATGCCACAATTTAGGTATTTTTTAAAAAGAAAAAGAGATGACCAACAAAAGAGATGACCAGTGTGTATTAAAGTTGACATATTAATACATGTTTTTAAAGGTTAAGGACATGTGCAAGGTTAAAATTGGAATTTTGGCTGTGACACTGTCAAAAATGAATAGTAAAAATTCATGTTGTGAAGACTGATTCCACGTTTAATCTACTTCCTCTAAAATGCAATTGGTATTAAACAATTTCTCATGTTATTAACATGAAAAAGACAACATCTTATATAAATGTTAACACTAGATTTAATATTAAAATCAAACTCACGTCTCTAAGTTGTCACCTTCAAGAACTGTCTGGACAGGCAGGTAACCAAGTCGAGGGTGTTTGGCAAAGTACTTCTTTGACCTGAACTTGTTCTTAAGCACCTTTGTGAAGTCTCGTACATCTTCCCCAGACGTTGTCTATAAGG